TTTCATCATGAGAATTTGAACTCTCATGGTCCTGAAACTGTAATCTTACTGAAGGGGTGGATTGAGACCATCTTCTGGGTCTCCCGGAAGACGGTCAGGTTATTAAGTTTATATTGACTGGTATCTATTTTTTTCTGTTGAAGACCATAAAAATGGAGGATGGATCAACATAGATACTTTGGAATACTGTCAGAAAATATCTCTGGGTTCGCTCCTGTTATTGACCATGGTACCTGTTGTGCATGATTAAAATTCAGTGTTGACTGACAGTGCTATTATAAGCATTATTTATTATTGCATCAAAATTGACAAAATGACCTATTTTGCATCTTTATTTTCTGTTTTTTGTCTGTACATTTGTCAGCTTTGCTGCCTTGTTTAAAGAAATTTCAACTTGCCCTATTAAGAACATATAATTTTGTTGTTGAAGACATATCTTTGTAGAAGTGTGCAACCCAAAGTCTCCAACCCAAAATAACTGTGGTAACACCCACTGAAATACGAATATAATCAAATCAAATCAAAGACTATGATCAAAGACTTGCCATCTAGATTGGATCATCTATAATTGACATTTCAATCTAAAAGGATACAGCCCAAAGCATTCAAATTCTGAGTCCTGAAAAAAGTCTGTGGTAGCACCATCTGATTGTATCATTTATTATTACTGTTCAGTTAATTAAATTTTGAAATGAAAATCCAAATGTAGCAGTTATGTAAAAAGTCTGTGGTAGCACCATCTGATTGTATCATTTATTATTACCGTTCAGTCAATTAAATTTTGTAATGAAAATCCAAATATGGCAGTTATGTAAACAGTTTCCCTATTAACGTTCCTCATGATTTCAAGGGAAAAAAACCCTGTTCGGAAGGTGCTTTTTGATTGTTTCTCAAACTACGCCAAGCTAAAAATAGCCAAAAAAGCAGCAGTCTATTCTTGGGCTGCTTGGTGTGGTTAGTTTTTTAGTGACTGAAGGACAAAAGATTAATAAAAGGTCAGTCCAGTCAATGTGATAAACATTTGAGGTTCTTTAACTACTAGCTGTCAGACTTGAAAATGGCTCTGACTACAACTGTACATGAGTGGATGGTGTAAAGCTACTTATAGTCCCCAATTCAGATTCTAAGGACAACAAAACTCTTCAAATAAAAGTTTATCTGAAACATACCTTGTGTCAGAATATCTCTGCTGCACCTCCTTGGGTAGTCATTGCCAGCTTGCAATGTCTACGTTATATTTGGCACAAGGTCATGATATAAGAAAACCTTTCTCTTGTGTTAAAACAAGGCAATAAACATAATGGCAGAAATTGTCACTTTGACTGGCCAGTCATTTCAAATTAAAGTATTATATAAAAATTTGAATACAACATTGATTCCTAGTGCAGGGAAGGGTCAAGCAAGAATTCACAAGTAGGAGAAAATATACCAGGAAGATTCATTTGGTGGAAAAATCCCATGTAGCGTCCCTTGAACTGTCATTTTTGGATAATTACCCTTGTAAATGAATGAAAACCTATAGAGGTATTAACTTTAATCTCAGTTTTATTATTTTTAAAGAACAAATTCTTTCTATTAGGAAAGTCAAGCTGTTGTTAGTGAAAAAAATTCTGATTCTTTCAGATTAAATGCTCTTGAGAAATTTACATGAAAGAAATAAATCTGAACTAATAGAATCAATATCTTCATATACATCATACTATTTTTTAAATAAGTTTTTTTGTTTGATTTGTTAACGCATAAAAAGCACTTTATTTAATTAGAATCACTATTTTTACCATTTTGAGATATGGCTTTAGTAAGTTAAAATGGGTGTTAAAGCTATCTAAAATGTTTTTTTAATCATGACAAAGTCATTATTTTGAGAAAAACATTTTTTACTTTCCTTCCTCCGAACTTTGATAAAAATAAAAATTGTTTGAGAAACAAGTAATTCAAGAGCACTTGCCTTACTTTGATGTTATCAACTGCTTTCATATTTTAATTATCTGGGAAGCTGGAGCATATAAATAAAGGAGGTAATGACAGGGGCACAGCATCCGTTGACTTGACGATTGATGAAGATGCAAACCATGAGCAAGAAGTATTCCATTTATCTTCTCTTCGTGTTGTTATATCTGAACATGTTCAGCCAAGGCCTTTCACAGAAGCCAGCCAAAAAAGGGAAAGACAGATGTGAGTATTTTCAATATTTCAGTTTTATCATATTCCACACAGATGTCATCAAAGGAGTAAGAATGTCGACTGAAGCAGATGAAAGATAATATCTTAACAATTTCACCATCATCAAAATAGACATTTATGTACAAATACAAATGTCTCTGTACATATAGCCGTCACCTGTGTCTGTTGTCGCTGTTGCTTACGCTATGCACTTTCAGAGGTAACATAAGTGGAAACATTTTACCTTTTGTCTTCAAACTTAAGAACTGATGAATATTCATTAAATACAGGTCAAGTTATAAAAAAAACATTTTTCCATAAGTTAAGCTGATTTTTCACCTTTTCAGCTTATTTGTAATACAGATAACACATAAGGTGGAAAATTGGTGCATGTATTGTCTCCAGAATTGCAGGAGTAATCAACATTACTCAATTTTTGGTCAAGTTCGAAAACCAGCCTGATCTGATTATTGTTCTCTTAAGTTTTTTGGGAAATGGTCATTTTTCATATATTGGCATTTTCAACGGCTGAATTTGAACTTCCATGGACCTAAAGACCTTTACTAGTCAAAATATTCACTATCTATGTTACCTGCAGTGCATAACTAAAAATTAGTGACCAATATGCTGTTAAATATTATGTAATATTGCATCAAAATTGCAGAAAACCCAATTTTGGGCATTGCCACCAAATTGACCATTAAAGGAAACCATTTAAGTTTTGATTTTAAACTTACAGAAAAGAGACAGGATTAAAATACACCTTGAATGGGGAAAACCCAGATTGATTGGATTCTTTTTCTGGCAATAATTCTGTTTTTTTTAGAAATGTTCATTTTTTCACATTTTGGCAATTTCAATGTTGGAAATAGAACTCCAACAGACATGGTGCCATATGGTGATAACATTTCTTGAATGCCTGCTTATGTATAGAAGATATTTTAAAAAATGGTGGTGATTATGCAGTTAATTATCACCATGTAATATTGCACCAAATTTTTAAGACCCCTTTTATGCACTGCCACCACAAATGCTCTGAAAGTATAACCGTTTTACTTATATTTTTTTATCTTACAAAAATGATTCTTAGTGTTGACATACAGCTCAAATTGAAATCAGCTTGGGGTATTAAATTTTCATTTTACCTCATTCTGGCATTTTCAATATGTGAATCTGAACTCTAATGGAACTATTGCCTAACATGTGTTACCTGTTGTGCATAATTAATATTTGATGTTTTTTTTCTTTTTTGTCTGTACATTTGACAGTTTTGCTGCCTTGTTTCTAAATTTTCTCCTTCATTGCATTGTCTAAAAGCTAATCAAAACAGAAAAATAGATCTTCAATATTTAAAAATCTGCTGAAATGGCCAAGGCATAGTGTTACACTTCCTGATATTCCAAGGGACTTTCCTAATTCACATACAACACTGCCACATGTTTTTGTTTTTTTCACCTAGCTGACCCCACTTTATAAACCTTACATGTGATTTAAATTTTTCCAAGTTTCAACTGGCTTGAGGTAATTTCAACAATTAGTAATACTTAGCTAAGGTAGATCTTAGAAGTTTAAGAAGCGAACCCTCTGCATCCTCCTTAATACCAAACTTTTTCATCCACCTTTTCTTTTTCCCTTGAAGGTCAAATTGGATCTGTGTTATCAGATTTTTGCAAGTGGGGTCAAAAAAATTGCCAGTGGTCAAAACATGTCACATTCGAGAAGCCATTTGCCAGTCCCCCTGATGTTGTGGCTGCTATCTCTTTACTGGACGCCTGGTAAGGTATTTTCTCTTCATATAATCATGTGTACCAGCATGCATCAGAAAGCCCACTCAGGCAAAAAATAAAACCTTTAAAAATTGTAATAAAACAATAAACAATGAAAATGTGTGTGCTGGACCGTTGGTTGTGCATGACAAATTTTGTCTCCGTCCAATGAAAAAGCCTGTATCATTGGTCCTTATGTCCAATGAGTTTTCAAGCTATTTCCGAATTTGCAAATCTAAGGGATACATTTTTAATTTCTTTTCTTGACGAGATATTTTCCTTCATTTGTCAAGAGAGCTGGGATAAAAATCACGTGGACATCCCTGCTAATTATACATAATTCATTGACCTCGGTTTCACTCTACAAATACTATTTTGTGACTGGCTGAGATTAGGAGATTCTTCTATGACTTAGTTAAAAGTTTCGTTTTCATTCTTGTCATATCCTTTATCAAAAATTACTTGCAATATTGCTACACATCATTTTTTAATTTAGGCATGGTGGTAACATCCGTATAAACCTGTCACCATCAAATATCACTAAGACTGGCTTTGAGATGAACTTTGGAGTGTGGGGCCAAGGAACCAGTCCTCCAACTCACATCTACAGAGCCATGGCTGCATGGACTGCATGTCCCTAAGTCAAACCAAGCACCAAGCAAGAATAAGGAACTCTTAGATCCCAATTCTTACAGAATGAGACACTCTAATATTTGGATATGGACAAAGATATATGAACTAACAAGACAACTATCATGTTCAGTAATTAGCCTATCATAAACAAGAGTCTTCTGTGCTAGCTCTCCTCTAAAAGATAAAAGATTTGAATAAATGATTTCACCACAATCATAAGATTCTGTTTTTCTTATCACAGACATGATTAAGATCTACCATTTTGGCTTATTCCCCTCAAGGGAAAACATTTGAATAAGTCATTATACCAATGTGACAACCATTAGTATCTATTTTTCATACACTTGCTCCCCTGACTTGAAGCCAGACATAGCCTATCATCATCACTTGCTCACCTGACTTGAAGCCAGACATAGCCTATCATCATCACTTGCTCACCTGACAACATGGTCGGACTTATCCTCGCTCCCTGGCACAGCCTCAAACTTGTCGCCAGGTGACCCCAGTACCCGCAGCGTGGTCTGAATGTCCACTGATGTCGACTGGGCAATGGAGAAGTCCATGATCTCAGACGGAATCAGAGGAGTCTCCCCTATTGACTCATCTGTGAGGACATGAGCTGTGGACAAAATTAATGAGGATGAAATATTTGCTTAAAAATTCTTTCTCATCAACCTATTAGTCTACAACTTGCATGTTGCAGTTGTGCCAGATGCCAGAGAACCAAGTATACAAAAGCCCTCATTCCCTCTTATTCTGAAACATAAAAGTATGTCCAATCTTTCACGTTAACAAGGAATAAACTACTACCAACAAAATGAAACCTTAATGCTGCAAAACAGAAATTTATACGCTCCTTTTCTCTTCAATGTGGCAGCATTACCAACTCTACTCACAACACTAATCTTTAAACAATTATCTGTTCTTCTGTGTTAATGTAGCACCATAGGCCATTAATTTACCAGTGATCAGTAGTAACCAGTGGAGGTCTTCATTTAAATTATTCAAAATGGAAGTATCAGAGTGTGGTGCTGACAGTCCCTGCTGATGAAGTCGCTGTAACTGGCCAAACAGTCGGCCAGTCCTCTCCTCAAGTAGTCTGGGAATTAGGCAAAAAAGTTAAAATTCAATGAAAAATATAACTCATTTTTTAAACGTAAATTCACATGTAAGGCTATATCTTCCAGGAATAATAAATGCAACTCCATTATTTATTTTATTTTTGATTGCCCTTAAAAAGATATAATGAGTTAATGTAGTAAATCACATCCAGAAACAAACTATCTATAAACTATCCCTAAAATATACCAAAAGTATACAATCCTATTTCCTGTTGTGCATACTATCCATAGTGTCACATTTTCACAATTAATGGATTCAATAGTTTTCTCACTTGGCAAGAAGCTGCACAGTATGCTGCGGAGCTCTCCTGCCAAATGCTGCTACGCTACACAACTGTTCGCGGAACTTTTCCCTGTCATCTTCCTCCGTCTCTTCTATCTCCTCATCATCTTCATCTGTTCCTCCATCTTCTCTCTTAGTTCACGAATAAAAAAGGACAAATCAACCACTGCTCATGTAAATATTATCACTGCTCAGTGTAACTTCTTCAATATATACAGAGCACATAAAGTATACATCAAAATTGATAACCTTTTGCTTATAGCCACATTTCTGTTTAATGAATTTTTACTAAAGATCACAAAAAAACACATATTTATTTTAAAAATCTAAGCCCATGTTACCTGGTTTCTTGTTCCGTCAGGTGGGCTGAGGTGACACTGGAGATACGTGTTGAACACCTGGATCACATGGGAGTGGAGCCTCTCTGTGGGAAAGAGGCTGGAATCGGAGAGGAACAACATCCAGGATTCAAGGGCCTTCTCAAAGGCTTCCATGTACATTGTGCTGTCTCTGTGCATCTGAAGTAGGAAAACAGCAGCTGGTTATAATGGATTTTCTGAACTGTTTTATCTTTACAACTTTAAAAACACTATCATTCTACAAGCATGTGAACACAAAGTAATGACTCCTCTCACTCTCAAGTAAAACAACATGCAAGCACTGGTAGCAGTGCCTTGCTTGCAGATGATGTAGAACATCCAGAAAGTCTTTAATTGCAATCATTAATATGACATTAGTTCTAATATTCCCTAGAAAACAGAACCAGCAGCTGCAACATTGATGCTGATCTAAGTTCCAGTCTTAACAAAAGAAATATTTACACACTTAACAAGACTATCAGACTCCCTTAGAACACATTGCATGACAATGTATAGCTTCCTGGGCCACTGTGGCCCTGCTGAAGTCACAGGTCACCTTAGAAAACATGACAACTTACAGCCTCCTGGGCCACTGCCGCTCTGCCAAAATCACAGGTCACCTTGGCGAGGAAACTGAAGTACAAGGCGAGTGTGTCTTGTGGAATGGAGACGAACACAGAGCCAGAAAACATGGTGGACAGGTTCATCAACATGGTGGCCAGACCCAGGGCCTCAAAGTCAGGGATGCCATTCCTAGAGAGAAGGAATAAGTGTTAAGTTAAACTGGGGAATAAGTGGATAAATTACAGGTTACTTCAGAAGTTATTTTTAATCTCTGACGAAATATGTCTCATATACAAATGAAATCATGTATAAAGTTAACAGATGAAATTAAAGATATGTTTTGTCTTGAAGTTGAGGTTAGAGATATGTTTGGTTTTATTACTAAATCATAAACAAATGAATGTGTAGTACATTTCAGTTACTCTACCTCAGACTACTATTTAAATATTATTATTATTATCAGTGTTTGCCTCTTAGGAAAATTAGTTGCTGGACCGAAAGTCCAGCCATCTTGAAAAGTAGTTGGACTGAATGTCTGCTGGGTGGGATAACTTCTCAGCCCGTTCTGAAAGTTGTCAGCCCCGGGCAGACGGTCCAGCCTTAATTTCTAACACTGAATATTATTATAAAAGGGGAATCTCCATTCTAATTTTTGACTAAACAGAATTGTGCATAAACAATTATGCAATTGATGAAATATTTTAACTTCACTTTAAAATCAACTTTAAATTCTGTAAACATTATGAAATGTATCCCTTTAAAATATACTCTTTTATCCTTACCCAGAAAAAGTAGATAACATCTCCTGTATAAAGTGGGTCAAGTATTCTCTGCAGCTGCTGTCATCCACAAACACAGAGCCATTGAGTGAAGCCAGCTGTGCCAGACACTGCAGGCTATGGTGGGCCATCTCCGAATTGTGACGCACTTTGCAATGGACCTGAACATGTGAACCACACAAAATACAATTATGTGAAATAACTAGCTGACTCTGGTTATTATTTAGCAACCCTGTTTATAGTTCAAGTCACTTGTGATCTAAACAGAAGTAACTTCAGGGGAAAAAAGGTTGTTAATTAACAGAACCCAAATATGATTGTGGGTGGTAAGACAAAGCAGAAAGAAATGGCTCAAAGGCCTGAAGACCTAGGTGAAAAATCATGTCTGAGAATCCCAGTGAAGGGGAAAATTGAAAGGTGT